GTGACCAATACATGATGTGTGACCTAAAAATCATTAATTTGTGACCACTAATTTGATAATTTGTGACTTAAATAAGTATTGTGACTTATAGATTTTGTGATTTGTGACCGATGAACAAATTGTGACTTTTAAATTTTTAAGTTGTGACTAATAAACAAATTGTGATTTATGAAAATTTGAATTGTGATCTAAAAATTTTCGCCAAAGTTGGAATACTTGTCGGAATCGGAGCATTCATCTGAACAAAGTGGCGGCAGAACGGTCATCGGAATCGTCATCGGAATCAGAGCATCGTCGAAATGGTCGCCGAAGATGAGATGTGACCGGAACAATAGCCGAAATAGTCTCCGAAGCGATGGGGTGAGGTGGGGTTGGGTAATTATAATACATTAGAATTAAATATTTAATAATAAATTGATTTAATAATTCATTAATTCATATATAAAAAATTAAAAAACCTGATTTGTGAAATTTGAAACTTGTTATTGTATTTTTGAAAATGTGTAAAGTACATACCTTAGAAATGTATTGTTCCTTTTAAAGAATGTGTGNAGAATAGTCCCCGGAGCGGTAGCGGTGGTGGAGGTGGGGTGTGTAATTATATTGTATTAGAATTAAATATTTAATAATGTATTGATTTAATAATTCATTAATTCATAAATAAGAAGTTAAAAAATCTGATTTGTGAAATTTGAAACTTATTTTTGTATTTTTGAAAAGGTGCAAAGTAAACACCTTATACATGTATTGTTCCCAATTTTAAAATAATAAATTTTCGTCCATATATAACTCAAAGTCCGTTTCCTTAGAGCCCGAAAGTGTGCGGCCCATTAATGGGGCAACTGCTGAGGGATTGGAGTGCACTTTTCGTTTTTTTCCTTTGGAAATTTTTTATATCGGAGGTTAACTATAATCCATTTCAAAATTAAAAAATAAGTTTTAAAATATAAAAAATCAGATATTATTAAAATTTAATTTATATATAAAATATTTAATTAAATATATATT